CTATCACATCAACATTCCACCTTTCCTCCAGGGACCAAAAGGGTCCTCCCACAAACCATTTTTCCCCGGCAGGTTTGGCTGAGAGATAGCGACTGCCGAAAGGTCACCCAGTGAGCTTCATGGCTGAGTAGGGATTGAACCCTGGCCTCCCAGATCCCAGGCCAACTGCAACGCCGCAGTGACTTTTGAAGCAAGGGAAACCATTTCTGATAGGGATGGGTGGATTTAGAGCAACATGGCCCAGCTTCTTGTTACTGGAATTGTGGTGGAACCACCAGTTTCAAAACTGAAATTGGCACCCTCTGAATCCCTGGGCAGTTCAGGTGTGGCTGTTTGTGGGGTGCTGAGTCACGAGAAAGTGCTGCACATCATTCTTTGCTGGAATCCCCAGTGACCAGCCTGTGGTTTCCTTAAAATGATGCAGTCTAGCTTCTCTCCACTTTGTTTGGGACCCCTCAATGAGCGAAGGGGTTACAGCCTCCTGCCTGCAGATTCTCCCCTGGAAATGTGTGTTTGCATTTGTGGCATTACAGAGATAATTTTATCTAAGGGACAGATTGCTTTTTTTGGACCTTGTTTTGCCAGAAGCCCTCACCCCCCTCCCGCTTTTAGAGCTAAAGCACCAGGCAGAGTTAACAAGGCTGTGGATGTGTGTGCCCTTCAAATGGCAACAGAGATTCACTGGTTGTCCACTGACTTCTTTATTCTGTTAAGAATGTTTGCTTTTGGAGAACAGGGTCTCCATTGTGTGCCATTTGCTTGCCTTAGAACCAAAGGACCTTTGCTCATGTTTCTTGAATGAGCAATGCATCTATTTCTAAAAGATGTACAGCCCACCCCTATAAAACAAAGGCAAGGCAGTTCTGCCAGCCAATTCTTGTTACATTTTTAAATTTACACACACACACCTGCCAAAAAACCAACAGAAATCCTGAGCAGGATACTTGGGTACAACAGAGCAAAATATTTTAAAAACCAAGGGTGTTGTGTGTTTCATAGGGTAAGGAAGACAAAGGGTAAGGAAGACAAAGAACGTTTCTAATGCCGTTTGGGATTTAATTTATTAGGTGCATAAGAAACCCTGCAACATTCCTTCAATTAAAATAAGGATGTCCTATCCCATAATAATAATAGTAATAATTTAATTATTTATACACCACTGACTGGGTTGCCCCAGCCACTCTGGGCAGCTTTCTCTCTCTCTCTCTCTCTCTCTCTCTCTCTCTGACATAATAAAACATTAAACATTGAAAAACTTCCCTATACAGGGCTGCCTTCAGATGTCTTCTAAAGATATAGTTACTGATATAGTTACTTCTCTCCCTTGGCTCAGGGGGTCGCATAACTCAATTTTGTTGTTGTTTAGTCATTTAGTCAAGTCCGACTCTTCATGACCCCCTGGACCAGAGCACGCCAGGCCTTCCTGTCTTTCACTGCCTCCCGCAGTTTGGTCAAACTCATGTTTGTATCTTCGTGAACACTGTCCAACCATCTCATCCTCTGTCGTCCCCTTCTCCTTGTGCCCTCAATCTTCCCCAACATCAGGGTCTTTTCCAGGGAGTCTTCTCTTCTCATGAGGTGGCCAAAGTACTGGAGCCTCAGCTTCAGGATCTGTCCTTCCAGTGAGCACTCAGGGCTGATTTCCTTAAGAATGCATAGGTCTGATCTTCTTGCAGTCCATGGGACTCTCAAGAGTCTCCTCCAGCACCATAACTCAAAAGCATCAATTCTTCGGCGATCAGCCTTCTTTATTGTCCAGCTCTCACTTCTATACATCTCTACTGAGAAAACCATGGCTTTAACTATACGGACCTTTGTTGGCAAGGTGATGTCTCTGCTTTTTAAGATGCTGTCTAGGTTTGTCATCGCCTTTCTCCCAAGAAGCAGGCGTCTTTTAATTTCGTGACTGCTGTCACCATCTGCAGTGATCATGGAGCCCAAGAAAGTAATATTTTTCTGGTGAAGATAGGAATGTCCTAAGGAAAAGGAGGATTCTGGGATCAAATCAGAAACCAAGACTGCTTCTGTAAATCCTGTAAAACACTCGTTTCATTATGTGTTTTGCTGCTTTTATTCCCACCTCCCCTGTGCTATCTAATCTCTTATTTATTTGAAAAATGCAAACTCTGTTGCATTCCTCCCCCTACCTGGAAAACTGTTAAAACAACAATGTTTACCTAGAACTGAGCACTTTCATGGGACAGGGGTGGGGCATGGGTGCATTTGGCTTGGGAATTACTGCCTGCCAGCTAAATTACCTGATAAAAGCAGCTGAGGATGGAAATGAGGTCATTCTGCAGAGCCAGTGGTTTGAGTCAGTTTCTTCTGACACGGAAGTGAAGTGAGTAATGAGTGGAAGTGAAGTGAGTAATGAGTGCGTGGGTGCCCAGGGGCAGGGGGAGTGAAGTTGAAACTAGCAAAGCCAGAAATTCCACCAGGTGGGTTGAAGACCAGTTAACCTCCTCCTGACTCCTCTTTCTGCTCCATCCATGGCCCTTTGTGTGGGAGCCTCTCCTTCCCGTTGGCAAGTTATTGCTGTTTTTAAAGTCCCATCCCACCCACTTTCTGGAAGTGAGCAGTGGCTGGCATATTCATGCTTGAGAGAAGGTCTAAACCACTGAGCCTCTTGGGCTTGCTGATCCAAAGGTCGCGGTTCGAATCCTTGCAACTGGGTGAGCTCCTGTTGCTCAGTCCCTGCTCCTGCCAACCTAGCAGTTCGAAAGCATGCCAGGGCAAGTAGATAAATAGGTACCGCTGTAGCGGGAAGGTAAACGGCGTTTCCGTGTGCTCTGGTTTCTGTCACAGTGTCCCGTTGCGCCAGAAGCAGTTTAGTCATGCTGGCCACGTGACCCGGAAAGCTGTCTGTGGACAAACACTGGCTCCCTCTGCCTGAAAGCGAGATGAGTGCCGCAACCCCATAGTCGCCTTTGGCTGGACTTAACCATCCAGGGGTCCTTTACCTTTTTACCTTACATGAACCAGTGCGAAGGCTCTGCAATGCTTTTGAACAGAAGGTGCAGAGTGAGAGAACTGGTTTGTTGATGCACCCTGCCAATTAGAGAGTGTTTGGAGGTTGAACCTAGATGAACCTTATCATTTTATGTACTGTGGCTTGCCATTGTTTTATTGATTATAGTTTAGAAATTATTTATTGTAACTGTTGAGTGGATTTCTGTTTAACTTTTATATGTTATTATTATTTAATACTTTTCTAATGATTGTTGAATGTTACTTTTTTGATGTAGGTTGCCTGTTTTATAATCACATTTTTGTATTGCATTAGATTGTTATAAGTTGTACATTTTTTGTTTCTTCAGCTTGTAAACCGCCTTGAGTATTGTAAGATAGAAAGGGTTAAAATACAAATTAAAAGTGATGATGATGATGATGAACGTTGGCCTTTGACATCTACAATATGTAGCTCTTATGCACTACATAAGAACCCAAGCAGAGGCCAGTGGTCCATCTCCTCCAGCATCCTGTTCTCACAGTGGCCAACCAGATGCCCATTGTGTGAAAACCCCCGAGCAGGATCCAAGCACAAGAGCCCTCTCCCACCCTGTGGCTTCCAGTGACCGGCATTCAGAAACGTTTAATGCTCCCAACTGTGAAGGCATAGCGTAGCCTTCTCCTCTGTGAATTTGCCTGGTCCTCTTTTAAACCCACCCAGGTTGGTGGCCATCACTGCCTCCTGTGGCAGGGAGTTCCATAGTTTAATGATGCACTGTGTGAAGGGGGGTTGTGGTCCAGAATGTCCCGAGAGCGCCAGCTTGGTGAAAGCTGCCCTAATAGAAGTAAATGTACCTGTAGCAGGGCAGGGGAAGGGGTGTGCCCAGGTCCCAGCAATCTTCCCAGCATCACACAGGATCGAGAGACCTGGTCATACGGGGGCTGATCTGTTTTCACTGAACACTCCTTCATCAAACACGCGTTTGCATCAGGTTTCGCCTTTTCTCTCTCCTTTCCTTCCCACTTCAGATTCCGCCCACCTGTGCCAAGCTCATGTTGCGGTACTAAACCCTGAGTCATAGTATTTACTGCTCTATTCTTCCTGTAGGCAAAAGTAATTTTTCTCTGCCCAAGTAAGGCTGGCGACTGCCTTGTGTGTATGCAAGGAAGTTGTAAAATCGTAGAGTTGGAAGGGACCTCTCCCACCCCCCCAGGGTCATCTAGTCCAACCCCCGGCAATGCAGGAATCTCAGCTAAAGCATCCAAGACAGATGGCCACCCAACCTCTGCTTAAAAACCTCCAGCAAAGGAGAGTCCACCACCTTAGAAGCTTATGTGTTCCACTAACAGACAGCTCTTACCCTCCGAAAGTTCTTCCTAATGTCTTCCTAAGCCTTCCCTCCTCCCAATCTATTTTGTTTAGGAAATGTCTGCATGCTTTGGGGGGCAGTGGAGGGTACGCCAGCTGACCACGAGAACCTGGGTAGATCAGACCGGGGAGGTTCAATCCAGCGTTCCCCATCAAAGGTCTTTCCACATCATGAACTCCAGCTCCCATCAGCCCCTGCCAGCATGACCCCTGGGATGGTGGGAGCTGTAGTTCGAAAGCATATGGGAGGTGCCAAGTTGGGGGAAGGCTGACTTAATCCTTAAGCTGCTTTCTGTTGTCTTCAAATACTGAAGGGAAATCCTCTCTTAGTGCATTGAGAGCAATATCAGGCCACTTTGAACAGCCATGGCTCCCCACCAAACAGTCCTGGGAGCTGTAGTGTGTTCAGGGTGCTGAGAGTTGTTAGGAGACCCCCTGTTGCCCTCACAGAGCTACAATTCGCAGAGCGATTTAACAATCAGTCCCCCTTTGCAGGCAACTCTGGGAGCCGTAGCTCTGAGAAGGGAAGAGGGGTATCTGAACACCTCCCAGCGCCCGTAACAAACTACAGCTCCGGGGAATAGTTGGTGGAAGCCATGAAGCTTTAAAGTGGCACGATACCGCTTTAAATGGATAGTGCAGACAGGGCCTTGATAACTTTGAAATTTCCTCTTTGCTACAGGGTCCTTGATATCAGGCCAGTCAAGCCAGGAGACGCTCGTTCAAGTTCCCGAGAACAGCGGTAAGTCCCGAAAACGATGGCTGTCTTCTCTTGCAACAAAGGGTTTCTGTGCTCTTTTGGTCGGACCTCACAGCAGCTTTCTCCCTCCAGACATGTCGGACTACAACACCCATCAGCCCCGGCATCATGCCGGTTGGGCTTATGGCTGCCAGCTAGGGCTGATGGGAGTTTGGTACAAAATGGCCGTGTAGGCTGAGGGATTGGAATCCGAAACATCTGATGGTTGTTAGACTTGGGAAGGCTGTCCTGTGTCAGGTGCCAGCCCAAGACATTTTGCTGCCTGAAGCGGAGACCAGATACCGGCCTGGTCCTGCCTCACTTGAAAAAGTTCTGCTGAATTGCTCAGGCCCCGGTTCCTGCCTTCAGCCCTTCTCCCCCTCTGCAAGAGCTTTTCAGTCGTCCTGGTAGAAGGAGGTGGCTTCAGTCGGCTGTGTTGCAAGGCCAGGGTGGGGCAAGGTGCCCACTCTCCTCCCCCTGTGCCCCCAACATTCAAATATGGCAAGGAACATCTTCACAACTCAGCTCCCCGCTTCCACAACAATGCACCCGTTTGCTTCCATTCCTCTGGAACGACCCCACAGCAGGATTTCCTTGCCCACAACCCTTTTCCCGCTCCCCACAGGAAACTGCTTTATACTGAGTCAGGCAGGGGAAGCCCCCAGCCCATCCTTCCTTGTAGTGAGTCAGACCCTTGGTCCATCTAGCTCATGGGCAGCAGTGGTTCTCCCATGGTTTGGGGCAATGGGACATTCACAGCCTTGCATGGGGATTGAACCCCAGGACCTTCTGCATGCAAGGCAGATGTTCTGCCTCTGAGCTCCGGCCCCTTCTTCCCAATTCCTAATGCTTAAAAATGTTGTATCCCTCTTTTCCATCTCTCTCTCTCCCCCACACCTTCTCCAATTCATTTTGTCAGCTGGATAATTTTAGAGCCTGGACTTAATGGCACCCCCCACCCCTTTGCAAAACCATGTGTGCTCGTTTATTCTTGAAGCGTGTAATTAACACTTATCTTCATTCATTGTCCCCCTCCCCCTCACCATTCCATGCTTTACAAGCTGCTTCTAAAATCCTGAAGTGTTGCAGCAAAAAAACAGGCAAAAGCAGTTTGACTTCCCCCTGATATGTGGTATTATTATTATTATTATTATTATTATTATTATTATTATTATTATTTAAGAAAGAGATACTGATATTTTGACAGGATGGTATATATGTGTTGGGGGGTGTGGTGTAGAAAAGGATAACATGCCCTTAAGGTAAAGATAATAAAATGACTGGTGCTCATTAGTTATGTGCCTAATTAGGGGAGCCAGTCAACATTAGCGCTGCCAACCAGGCCAATGCCATGCCAACCGCTATCTTTCCACAATGGCTAATTGATGTCTATTTTTAGCCATGTTTTTACTGTATGATTTTACGTATGCAGATTTCACTCGGGTATCTATCTCCCTTGTGTTTCAAAAAGTACGGATAAAAAAAGGAAAAGTGTAAAACTAATTCAGATGAGCCTTCCAGTAAGTATTAATGCATGTGGTGATACAAAACACAGCCCATGCTGTTTTCTTTTACATGCTGGATTCAGATTTAACAACATTTTCATCCCTCAAATGACAGCTTGTCCCCAATAGTTATCCTCATCTACTTATCTGGAGCCACAGATACGAAGCCATTGATTTAGTGAATCTTCATCTCAAAAGTGCCCTGTAAATAGAATACTCCAAAGAATGTCCTTGAGGGAGAGAGAGACAAAGAGTGCATTTTTTGGAAAAAGCATTCTTCTAACCTTTGCAGTACTTGAGAAATCCTCTTTTGCCAAAATTATAGCCAGTTGTTTCCTGGGGCTTTGGTGCAGTGGCTCTGGGCCTGTTTAAAGGGCATTCTGTTTCGGTGCCCACAACCCAGGTCTCAGGCAACTTCCTGGAGCTTGGATGATGCTTCTTCTCTTGGAATTTGTGCCAGACTCTCCTGGTAATCCATGTGTCCCAATGTGATGCTTTTCTGCCTTCCCGCTTACCCGTGTTCTTCTTCCCCTTTAACATTTCTTTAGAAGCACGACTGCCTTGCAAGGCATACCAGGGCTCCCCAAGGCGTGTGGAGTGGAAATTCCAGGGGGATGGCTCCACAACACTCTTCTATTTTGACGGTCACTTCACAGGTGGGTAGTTTAACTGTGTGTGCGTTCGTGTTTCGGAGGATGAGTTAATTCTAAAAGAGGTCTTTTGAGGCCCTAGATAGAAGATAACTTCTGCTGAAGCTGGAACCCTTTATTCTTATTCCCTGCCATATGGGTCCTACCTGGATGAGTTTTAGGCCATAGGGAGAAACCAATTGGGTCAGGAGAGGTGTACATCCAGGTTCCAGGCGGGGGGGGGGGGGGAGGTTGTCCCTCTTCCCTGTTAAACATCCATCTGCCTTGCTAGGTTGTTTGTCCTGCTGTCTCATAGTTTCCAGTGTTTGTAGTACCTGAAACAGCCTCTAAGGCAGAGTAGGGATGCTGTTGGTGTACCAGCTCTAACAGTCTCCCTTCCGGAGCTGGATTTGGCCTTCTTAGCTAGCTTTCCTAGGACCTTTCAAGATCTTCCTACACTGCTCAGATTTCAGCAGGGCTTGTATTTGATGCCAGATATTTTATTTTATTTTATTTTACTTTACTTTACTTTACTTTATTTTATTATTTTATTATTTTATTATTTTATTTTATTTTATTTTATTTTATTTAGCTAGCTTTACTCATGGAAATGACTCGCAGTGACTTAGACACAATAAAAATACTAGCCAGTTACAGTAAAGGCAATCAGTAAAATCAAAACTCATCCATGCACAAATAAAAGGCAGGCGAGCCATTCCACAAGCAGGGAGCCACCACGGAAAAGGCACGTTCTTGTGCTGCCACCCTCCCTGTGCTGGTAGCACATGGAAAGGGGCCTTGATGACTTAAATGTCATCAGATAGACACCCCTCTTGCCAAGGAACAATCAGAAGCCAATTTTAAGCCTCCCACATCTTAGATTTTGATTAAAATTGCTGTACTGGATTATCTCACATGTCAAAATCAATAAAGTGAATAAAAAATTCCTCTTCCTTCCTGTGGAATGCCTTCCCATCAGACGTCAAGGAGAGAAAGAACTAATCTAGTTTATATGTACTGTAAGCCACCCCAAGTGGCTGGGGAAACCCAGCCAGATGGGTGGGATATTGTTATTAATATTATTATTGAAGTTATGGGGGATAAAAATTAGGGAAATGTTATATACACGCGTGATGCATCATAGAATGATGAGATTGGGTCTACTAGACCCATTTTTAAAAACCAATATGGACTAAATTCACTTCTGGGAGTGTTCCCATGTTAAGTTGGGAGAAAACAGCCTTGTTCAGGGCCCCTACTAGACAGAATTAGGCCCTGCAGTCTGACGATCCCACCAGTACTGAGGTAAAATTATCACCACTTGTGCTGAAGTATTCCCCGAAAGAGCTTATTCCCTGGTGTTTTCTCATGCTCTGAGGGCCTTCTTTTCCCCCCCACAGACCCCTACAAGGATCGCGTCCAGTTCTATCCCAATGAACTCTTTTTCAAATCGGTGACTCGGAAAGACACGGGCCTGTACATCTGCGAGGTGCTTGTCCCTCCAGAGGACTTTCGACATTCCTCTGTGCGGCTCATTGTTCAAGGTACAAAATGTCATTTTATGTCCAGAATCTTTCATGGCCCTGACCACTGGCCTCCAGAAGCTCAACGGCCTGACCAGCTTGGTCCAAAGGTCTCTCAGCGCTCTTGTGTCAAGCAGCCCGTTAATGAGGAATTAATTATTTTAATACCTCAACCACAGCAATTGGTAGCCTCACAGCTGGGTTACTGCAATACTTTCAGTGCGGGGCTGCCCTGGGGGTTGATTCAGAGGCTGCAGCGGGCACAGAATGTGGCAGCTTAGTTGCTTGTTGGGGGAGAAATAACCATCAGCATAGAACGCCTTGCTTGCAGGATTTGCACAGGCTTCCCATTTGCTACCAGGCCAAGCTATATACATACAGTAAAAGGCCACATGCAGCTCACGACCAGCTTACTTGAGAAACCACCTTGCCCCTTAATACTGCCAGGAAGATTGCTGTGGTCTGAAGGAGAAGCTCTCCTGCAAGTTCCTAAGATCTCAGAATCCCACTCCACGGAGCAGGGCTGCCCCTGTTCTGTGGAAGAATATTCCTGCCAAGATATGCCAATCAATTTCTCATCCCTGGGAACTCTGGGAAATTGGAGCTCTGTAAGCGGAATAGTGGGGCCTCCTAGCAACTCTCGGCACCCTTAAGAAACTACACCTCCCACAATTCTTTTTTTTTTTTTTTAAATATTTTTATTGCCTTTTTCCAGATATATCAAACAACAAAGAAAAAAGAAAGAAAACAAAAACAGAAAAAGGAAACAAATAGAATCCACCTTTCAATTACATTTTCCCATGTCTTGCTGGACTTCCCCACGTCTCCCACACCTTGCTTTCTTAACAATAAAATGTCAGCAAATTAATGTCTTGTTTCATGTGTTATTAATACTTTCAAGTACTTATCTTTTAGGTTCAAAATACTTGTTTTCAATTTACTTTTACTTTAATCTAAACACAATATTATTTTAAACTTTAGTCCTCTCATTAATCATACCCTAATTTCCAATATAAAAAATCTTGATGCTGAAGCTTGGTTTTTCAATTTATGCAAATTATTGACAATCAAATAACTTATAATGTTTTTGTAAATAGTCCTTAAATTTTTTCCAGTTCTCCTCCGTTGTCTCTTCTCCCAAATCTCGGATTCTGCCAGTCATTTCGTCCAATTCCATATAGTCCATCAATTGCATATGCCATTCTTCCAGAGTGGGCAAATCTTGTGTCTTCCAGTGCTTTGCAATAAGTATTCTTGCTGCTGTTGTTGCATACATAAAAAAGGTTCTATCGTTCTTTAACACATTCTGGCCGACAATACCCAAAAGGAAGGCCTCTGGTTTCTTGGGAAAGGTATACTTAAATACCTTTTTTAACTCATTGTAAATCATTTCCCAGAAAGCCTTTACCCTTGGGCATGTCCACCAGAGGTGAAAGAATGTCCCTTCCGCCTCCTTACATTTCCAACATCTGTTGTCAGACAAATGGTATATTTTAGCAAGTTTAACTGGGGTCATGTACCACCTGTATATCATTTTCAAAATATTTTCTTTCAATGCACTACATGCCGTGAATTTCATACCGGTGGTCCATAACCTTTCCCAGTCATCAAACATGATGTTGTGCCCAATGTCTTGAGCCCATTTTATCATGGCGGATTTAACTGTCTCGTCCTGAGTGTTCCACTTAAGCAGCAAGTTGTACATTCTCGAAAGTACCTTTGTCTTTGGTTCTAGCAGTTCTGTCTCTAATTTCGATTTTTCCACCTGGAATCCTATCTTTTTGTCCAATTTAAAAATCTCTTGAATTTGAGCATAATGAAACCAGTTTTGCACCTTATGTTTTACTTTTTCATAGCTCTGTAACCTCCAGTTGTCACCTATTTTTTCTAGCATTTCCCAATATTTCAACCAACCGGTCTCCATATTGGGCTTTTTTCGGGCCTTGGCCTCCACTGGTGATAGCCACCTCGGGGTCTTACTTTCCAATAAGTCTTTGTATTTTATCCAGACCATAAATATTGCTTTTCTGACAATATGGTTTTTAAATGTTTTATGAATCTTAACCTTGTCGTACCACAAATATGCATGCCATCCAAAAGCATTGTCAAACCCTTCTAGATCCAGGACATCGGTATTTTCTAAAAGCAGCCAATCTTTCAACCAGCAGAAGGCTGCAGCTTCATAGTATAGCCTTAAGTCTGGCAGGGCAAACCCCCCTCTTTCTTTTGCATCAGTTAGTATTTTAAATTTTATTCGGGGCTTTTTGCCCTGCCAAACGAACTTCGAAATGTCCTTCTGCCACTTACCAAAACATTCAGGTCTGTCCACAATCTGAAGGGCTTGAAACAAAAACAACATCTTTGGCAATACATTCATTTTTACTGCTGCGATTCTGCCCAACAAGGAAAGTTTCAATCTTGACCAAATTTCTAAATCTTTTTTAACTTCTAGCCAACTTTTTTCATAATTATCCTTAAACAAATTCAAACACCTCCCACAATTCTTTGGGGGAAGCCATGACTGTCCAAAGTGCTAGAACTGTGCTTTTAATTTATGGTACGAAACGGACCTTAGTTAGAAGATGGCAACAATGATGACAATATTATTAGTGCAATATTGAGGAGGTTTCTCTGTGTGTATTCCTCACCCAGATCTAACTAGAGAACACGGAGAATAATAAGAATAATAAGAAGGCTAGCTGTTGCCCTAACAAGATTTTGATGGGATGTTTCCTCAAAGGCAAAATAATAGTGGGGTGTTTTCCCCTTCAGAGTCAGGCTTCCCATACAGTGGTGCACAAGCTTTGTTCAGGTGGCACATAGGAAGCTGCCTTATACTGTTGCTCCATCCAATTCAGTATTGTCTACACTGACTGGCAGCGACTCTCTGAGGTTTCAGGCAGGAGCCTCTAACAGCCATACTTGGAGGTGCTGGGAATTGAATTTAGGAGCTTCTTGGGGGTAAAGCCGACGCTCTACCACTGAGCTGTGGCCCTTCCCCTGGTCCGTGGTGTGTCTGTAAAAATACAGTGGTACCTCAGGTTACATACGCTTGCCCTCATCCGGTTACTCCTGGGAAACTCACAAGCAGAGCAGGAAAGCGACAACTCTCCCAGGTTGGTACAGTGGTACCTCGGGTTACATACTCTTCAGGTTACAGACTCTGCTAACCCAGAAATAGTGCTTCAGGTTAAGAACTTTGCTTCAGGATGAGAACAGAAATTGTGCTCTGGCGGCGCGGAGGCAGTAGGAGACCCCATTAGCTAAAGTGGTGCTTCAGGTTAAGAACAGTTTCAGGTTAAGAAAGGACCTCCGGAACGAATTAAGTACTTAACTCGAGGTACCACTGTACAATGAAAAAAATGATCCAGGGTCTAGTGCCGGGCAATGCAATTGCAACAACAAGCAGAATCCCCCCTGTCCAATTTGTTTATTTGCTTTTACATATTACAATTTACAGTCATACCACAACACCTTCCATAGGTACAAGATTCCCACAAATCTCTAGACTTTCTTCCTTCCCCAATGTGGGTCCCATTGTTAAACTGCATCTTATATGATAATCCGAAAATTTTATATCTCCATTGTATCCATAGTTCTCGTTACATTACAAGTGTTATTGCAATCCCAGTAACGTTTTTAATTGTTTGCAGTGGTCCCCAAGGTAAATTATAAATCTCCCCCATTCCTTATTGAAATGTTGGTCTTCCTGATTTCTGATTTTTCTGGTCATTTTTGCCATTTCGGCATAGTCCAGCAACTTGATCTGCCATTCTTCTCTGGTAGGGACTTGTGTCTTCTTTCTATCTCTGGGCTAGCAGCATCCGCGCAGCTGTCGTTGCATACATAAGCAGTCTTTTCTGTTCCTTTGGAATTTCGCGCCTAGAATTCCTAATAGAAAAGCTTCTTGTTTTCTTTTTGTAAGTGTTATTTTAAACATTTTATTCAATTAATTATAAATCATTTCCCATTAAAAATCATTTAAGTGATCCACTTAGATCCACCAGCAATTTTCAAGTAGTCTGGGAACCTCTGGTTTAGAGCAAATGAATTTAGAACCAGTGGAGTGCATGTTTTTCAAGTTGTCCTGCACAGCTGCTCGCCTTTCACAAACTAACTGAGCGTTCCTGCAACAACAACACCACCTTTGTTTCTCTAACGGACGTCTCTTGGCCTTGCAGTCCCGCCCTCGAAGCCCAAGGCCCAAGTGCCCTCTGTGGTCACCATTGGCACCAAAGCGGTTCTCACCTGCGTGGAGACAGACGGCTCCCCGCCTCCCACCTTCACCTGGTTCAAAGACAACATCCCGATGCCCCAAGACCCCAAAACCAACTCCCTCTTCAGGAATTCATCCTACACGATGGACCCCAAGACGGGGCTTCTGGTAGGGTCTTGAAAACAGGCTCCGAGCTTTGTGAATTCTGCCATATTTGGGGGGGTGTGCTACTCTGACTTTGGAATTGGGGGGTGGGGAGAGAAGAAGAAGAGGGGGGGAACCCGTTGCGTTCTGCAACTCAATTTTTATTTTTATTTATTCCGTAACATACACTGCTTGACTGTTGAAAACAGCTCAAAGCACTTACTGCATTATTCACACTGAGATGGTTACACAGTGTAATTCTGCTCTGGCAAGCTTTTGAAGGCCTTTGGCTGAGAGTCGACAAGTGGGAACTATTGAAAGTTTGGCAGCCTTGTGTGTTGAAAAATAAGGTGTCCTTGGGCATGAGGTTTGTTGAGAGGGGAGGCCAATAGTGGGGAATAGTAAGTCTTCTACTCTCTAAGGTTATGCTACCTTAACACCACACGCACCCTAGTCTTTATTTTATTTTGCCTTTATGTCCCACCTTTTTCTCCCAAGGTGGCTTTTGTGGTTCTCCCCCCACACACCTCATTTAACTCCCCACAAAAACCCTTTGAGGTAGGTTAGGCTGAGAGGCACTGACTGGCCCTCAAGATCATCCAGGGAGCTTCATGGCCGAGTGAGGATTTGAACCCTGGTCTCCCAGGTCCTAGTCCGACACTCTAACCACTACGCCTCACTGCCTTACTTAAGGCGCCATGATACCACTGTAGATAGTCATGGCTTCCCCAAAGAATGTTATTTTCAAGGGTGCTGAGAGTTTTTTGGAGGCCCTCCTATTCCCATCACCACACTACCAAGTTTCCAGAGTTGCTTAGGAAGAGCGGTTGGTTGTTGAACCACGCTGGGAATTGTAGCTCGGCAAGGGGAATAGGGGATCTCCTAACAAGTCTCAGCACCCTTAACAAACTACAGTTCTGGGGGTCCTTCTTGGGAGGGGGAAGCCAAGACGTTTTAAAGGGGCCTAGGTTTCTTTGGGAGAACATGAAAGTGGGGTTGAAGATAACGCCCCATACTAAGTACAAAAAAGGCAAGAAGTAACTGTATCGTTCTACTTGCGTGCTGTTTTAAATCAAACTATGGTTTGTAGGTGAACACACAGCAGGCTGGCATGGGCTGAAATTGTAGATTTTTGCACCTCCTTCCCCATTACTGCTGGATTTCGAGTAGACAAGAGAGGTCTCCTGATCCCTGGGAATTGCATGCTGCTGAGACCCCTCTTTTTCTCCCTCTCTTTCAGTCTTTTGAACCCGCGATGGCCTATGACGCTGGGGACTACTACTGCCAGGCGGACAACAAAGTTGGGGCCCCCCAGAAGTCCGACACAGTGCGCATGGAGACCAGTAAGTAGGCCCGACTAGTGGTGGGTTGCCTTGATGGCCGGCTCTACTGTTTGGCTATGGAGGGAACGAATACCTGAGAGCAGATCTTTGCAACCTGAACCCAAAATGCCTTTACTTTATGAAAAATGCATAAATACATAATATTCCAGAGCTTCCCTTATATATTATTTAGGTTTTAGGGGTTTTGGAGGATGAAGGCACTGGAAACAGTTTACTTAATAATGTTAGCTCTCTCTTTTGTGCCTAAAATATATGTGTATCCCAGGAATGGGAAAGAGTTGGTAATTGCAATTTTAGATTTGACTAGTGTATTATCCGTTGCAGTTGCCCACTTTTCACTTACATTGTATTCATTCATTGTGTGTGTGTGTGTGTGTGTGTGTGTGTGTGTGTACACACACACAAACAACAACAACATGGCACTAGTAACAGTTGACAATTAAAATAAAAATAGAAGGTGAGATCTAGAAATAAACATAATGGGAGCACATTTCCAAAATCAAACAAAATAAATTAATATCACAAGGTTGCAAATTTGTACATTATCCTGTACCATATTCCTCCAGTACATTATAAAAAAACTCTCATTTCTCAATACTGTAAAGGCATCTTCTTGTCTCCCCTCTGTGTTTCTTACCATCTCTGTAAGCTTAACCATGCATATACTGTGTCCCAGATTTTAGTTATGCATTCTCTTGAGGATGGTATTCTCATTCCTGCCCCGCCCCCAATTTTGACAAATGCTGTAACCATTCTGGCAGCAAGTTAAGAGATGTTTGCATTAATTCCCTGTCCCCTTAGTGCAGTTTCTTCAGCATATTCAGGTGGTAAAATTAGAGGGTCCATGGGTAAGGTATAGCCAGTTATTACTTCATTATGTTCTAGTATTCTTTTTATGAATAATGAATTTCCGAATATGGTGCTCTTGGAGGGAGCTTAACATCCCTCCCTCACTGTATACAGCCTTGATCGATACTAGGATACGGTGATTTAGAAGGTGCTTTCCACTATTGGGAAAAAAAGGTCAGGAATTTCCCAAGATGAAATGGCTGAAGTATGGGATTGGAAAAGTGGAAGTAAGATCACAAACAAAAGGATCTTGGTTGACAGGGCAGGAATGATGAAAAGATACCTGAAGCTAATTCATTAATTGGCATTCCAAGTACCTTCTAGTATGTGTCTTTGGAAAAAACAGGATAAGGCCGCAGAAGCCCAGTAGGAGTGGGGAATTACCAGATAAAGAGGAAAAGTATTACAAGTGTGGGGTGGCACCCCCAAGGCAGTTGGCCAAAGGTGACAACAGGCCTCAGGCGGAAAAAAACCATCATTAAACACCCCGCTGTAAAGAGAGACATGAGTAAGAAACAAAATCTCCCTGCGTGTTAGGCTTGCTGCCCCACTTCAGCCAAAGTTGAAGGAGAAAACCTCCAATGAATTAGAGTCAGTCTAGGGTGTACAGGTGTCCCCGGACGGACTGTGTAGGGTCTTGCAGTGTGACAGGCTCCTTTTCAGAATTACTGAAGAGCTGAATACCATCTTCCTTTTCTGTGCAGGTGAAGTCAACGTGGGCGGCATCGTTGCTGGTGTGGTGGTGCTTCTCATCGTCCTAGGCCTGGTGATCTTTGGGGTCTGGTTCGCCTACACCCGGGGCTTCTTCAGCAGTAAGTAGCAGGCTATGCGCTTGAACCAATCATGTCATGCAGTGTTTAGTTTGATTATATATGCGGCTTCCTCCGCTGAGGCGGCCTGGCAAGGTTTTCTGGGCTTGGCGTTTGGTTTGATATCCCATGCACTTCCCCAAATAGGCAGGAGCCTGCAATATGGGGATGGCATTGGACTACCTTACATGGTTGTCGAATTGTGGCCATAAATGACATAGGTGCTTGTAAGGCCCTTAAACAATCCTGTGAGGCAGCTGTGGCAGCTGCTGGCTCAGGGGAGCTGTAGCCAATAACCTCTGGAAAGAACCAAGCTGGCAAAAGGCTGACCTAGGCTACAGACTAAACATTTAAAGCACTTTGGTGAACTTGAAACTGTCATGGCGTCCCCCAAATGATTTTGGGAGCTATAGTTTATTAAGGGTGCTAAGAGTTGTTAGGAGGCCCCTGTCCCTCTCCCAGTGCTGCAGTTCCCATTAATATTGTTATTCCACTTTGGCAGTTGTAGCTCTTTGAGGGGAATTGTGGGTCTCCTAGCAACCCCACACCCTTAACAAACTATAGCCAGGCCACATTCACACCATATATTTATAGCAGTATCCTATCACTTTACACTGTCATGGCTTCCCCCAAAGGATCCTGGGAAAGGAGGTTTCTTAAGTGTGCCCTGTTCCCCTCAGAGGGCTACAATTTCCAGAGCGGATTAGTTATTTCATATTCCCAAATGTGGAGTCTAAGAAATAGTCTCCAGACGGAGGTTTTAGGATTAAGAACTGTTGAGAATCTTCTTTATTAAAAAGTGGTAGCTTTGAGAGCTGCACAGAGGACAAGGTCTCCGCCTAGCCCCTCACAGGAAACGCTGCATACAAGCAGAGAGGATAGCTTTTTAGAGACATGTTACAAAGCATCAAAGCAAGTGTCACAAATATGACCGCAAGCAGTCAGTTTAGACTTGGAACAATACGAAAGGGAAGTTGATCAGCAAATCAGCTGAATGTGACTTTTTGCAGTCTAGACAGTAGAGCATCTGAGGTACTTTCAGAAGATACCACTGCATTCCTTCCTTCTCCTTTTCTGAAAAGCTCGAAACATCACATCTTCTCCCTCTCTCCTGTGTCTGACTCCTTTCAAGAAATAGGATAGGAACAGAGTTTACTGGGATTAGTCAAGTGCCCCCAAAAGAAGTCCAAGTAGATCCTAACCCAATTTTGTCTCCACACGGGGAGCTCTGCAAATTCTACATTTCCCAGGATTCTCTGAGGGAAGCCATGACTGTTCAAACGATACAATCCTGCTTTAAATGTAGAGTGTGAATGCGGCCTGGCTGTAGTTTGCTAAGGGTGCTGAGAGCTGTGAGGAGATCGCCCCCTATTCTCCTCCCAGAGCTACAATTCCCAGACTTCCCTGAGAAGAGGGGTTGACTGTTAAACCACTCTAGAAATTGTAGCTCTGGAAGTGGGAAATACGGGTGTTTCTTCAGAACTCTTCAGCATCTTAGCAAACTACAGCTCCCAGGACTCTTTTGGGGAAGGAGCCATGACTGTTTAAAGGAGTGTCACTGTGCTTTGAATGTATAGTGCGAATGTAATTGTCAGAAGAAGAAGATTTGCCCAAATGATTTGAGGAAACTGAAGTTTGCCTTGTTGGCTAAAGTTTTGTTTTCCCCCTCTTTTTCAGAAAGAAGAGAGTGAGTAGAAGCTTGGCCAGTTGGGTTGGCGGCGTCGGTGTCTCCTCCACCAGAACCCTTCTTCCCACCCACATTGCCCTGCCTCTCTCATCCCCTCCCCACATATTCCTCCTGCCCCCAAAACTCTTATATGTTGGCTGAGGCTTGGGGGCCACTGGGTTCCCCTTGGCCCCATTCCTAGCCACCGAAGAGGGTGGTGGGAATGGGTGGCGCTTGCAGAAGGAGCCACGGTGCGCCAGCCTCCCGGTGGGAGCCTCTGGGTGTGAGGTGCCCAGAGTTATTTATTAACGAACTTATATACATTGCTTATATGCCAAAAGGGGTTGCATCTGGTGTTAGCCCTACTCAGAGTAGACCCACTGAAATTAACCGGCATGGCTAAGGTGGGTCTGCTCTAAATAGGGCCACATTCATGCCATGCATTTAAAGCGCTGTGGTGCCACTTTAAACAGTTATGGCTTCTTCACCAAAAGAATCCTGGGAACTGTTAAGAATGGTGAGAGTTGATAGGACACCCATATTCTCCTCACAGAGCTACAGTTACCAGAGTGGTTTAGCACTCAATCTTGCTTCACAGGAACTCTGTTGACTCCTCTTAAGAGCCAACAGTGTGATGCAGCAGCAAACAAAAGCAAATGCGATTCCAGGCTCCATCAATAGAAGTAGAGTGTCCACCTCAAGGAAAGCCAAAGTGCCACTCTGTTCTGCCTTGGTTAGACCCCCCCCCACCTGGATTCTTGTGTCCAGTTTTGGGCGGCACATTTTAAGAAAGGTGTTGACAAGCTGGAAGGTGTGCAGAGGAGGGCAACCAGGATGGTCAGATGCCTGGAGACCAAGCCTTATGAGGAATGGTTGAGGGAGTTTGGGATGTTTAGAGAGAAGACTTAAGAGGTGATAGGATAGCCATCTTCAAATATTTTAAGGGCTGTCACATGGAAGATGGAGCAAGCTTGTTTTCTGTTGATTCAGAGGGTGGAACCCAAACTGATGGATTAAAATGACAAGGAAATTCCAACCAAACATTAGGAAGAACTTTCCGAAGGTACAGCCTTTTGACAGTGGAACGGACTACCTGAGAAGGTGGACTCTCCTTCACTGGAGGTTTTTAAGCAGAGGTTGCCAGGGATTCTTGAGCTGTGGTTGCAGAGGGTAGGACTAGATGACCCTTGGTGGCCCCTTCCAACTCTGCAACCTGTGAATTGTATGGTGTGAATATGGCCTGGGATTTAGGTGAATGGCACCCTCAGCATTCCGCCTTCTGCCTCCGCTTCTGGGATATCTTCCTCTATTGCCAGGTCCCTGCCTCTAATCTTTCATTTCTCCACCTATTTTAGCACCACCAGCAATAAGAAGGTCATTTACAGCCAACCTTCTACCCGAAGTGATGTAAGTAGAACAGGAACTTGCTCTGTTCTTTCCCCAGAAAAGCTGGTTTTGTTAGGCGTGGCAATGATGCAATGAGTGGTGTTTTTGGCAGCCTCCGACTGGGAGGAATGATGGGGCCACTCAAGTCTCTGGTGGGTTTGCAAACGTGCTCATGAATTTATTTCTTTATTTGGAAGAGAAAAAGGTGGGACCATGAGCAGGGGGTAGTCAACCTTTTCATACCTACCGCCCACTAATGCATCTTTCTTGATGGTAAAATTTCCTTACCGCCCACCAGTGCTCGATGGAAGGAGGATTCAGCTTGTACCGTAGAACCCCCTGCTGCCCACCTAGAATCCTGAAGCACCCACTAGTGGGCGGTAGGGACCAGGTTGACAACCCTTGGTTTAAAGGGTACCTATGTAGGTTCTCTCGGACAGCGCACACCAACTCAGGTGATTTCCTAGACCAGTGGTTTCCAAACTTTTGGGGGGCCACTGCCTCCTTGGTGCCATAAACCCACCCCCAGTGCCCCCTACCCAACCCAGTAAAATGAATTCTTCAGAACTGAAGTTCAAAACGTTAACAAACTGATCACGTGCTTATATGAAAAATAAATACATGCCAAAATAAATATATGATCTGATCTAAGCTTCTAGATAGATAGATAGATAGATAGATAGATAGATAGATCGGTCACAGCATAGAATATTGCATGAAAAATGTTTTGACACATTCTTACTAACAAAAACATAAGGGGTGAATGAAGTTTATAGCATAGAATATTTATTTATAACTACCAAACATGCACAAACCCTCACCTACCACAGATGTTCAATAACTAATTTATAAGAAAATAAATAGCTATTATTGTGACAACTCAGCATCATAGCTACAAGCAAACGTGACCAAAGTAAATAGCTTTGAAAGTGATAAGAGCGGTAAAACTTTAAATATGAAGCAAGGGAGGTGTTTCGCTCTAGGCTCTAGCCTGGTCATTTGTTAAATAAGTGATCCGTGTGCTTGGAGGGGCCCACCTGCAACGCCCCCTTGCCTGTTAGACACCCCCATGTAATCCCATCCCAAGGAGTGGTCCTGCCCACTTTGGGAATCACTGGTCTGGAGAGAAAGTATTGGCTGTGTCCAAGCTACAAGTTTGGATGTTGGGTAGCTGTTCTTAGCCTGTTAGAAAAAAAATCCAATGGTAATAAACAACAACAACAATTTTATTTATACCCTGCCCATCTGGCGGGGTTTCCCCAGCCACTCTTGGTGGCTTGCAGCATATCTAAAAACATAATAGTAGTTCAGTGCCCCAGCTTCAACACACAGTCATACACACCTGCAACAGCAAGCCCACCTTAACAGGGTTGTTGTAAGGATTACAAGAAGCCAGTGTATGTGACAAGTTTTGAACGCATGGAAAGTGCAATATCAGGGCAAAGTGTTTATTATTAAAAACTCTGCCATCCTTTTGTGGCCACGTGGCCATTGTTAGCAGTCGTGGCATGCTGGTGGTGCAAGATCACTCCCGGTGACGGGAGGAGACACAGGCATACAGCTAAGAGCTGTGAGGATTATGCACCTTGAAACTTTGGGGTTCTGAATTTATGCGGTCTGGCTCTCTACAGCAGCCTCCCCCAAGCTGGCTGAGGACTGATGAGACTTGTAGTCCAAAGCCCCAGCTGGAGGGGAGGCTGCCCTGCTGGCTTTCTCATGCTGTGTAACTTAGAGGTTTCTTCTCTCTCTCTCATTTTCCAGGGTGAATTTAAACAGACGTCTTCCTTCTTGGTCTGATCTCCACTCTCATGTTGCCTTCCACCATGTATTAAAGTCTAACCTCTCCCTCCTCTTGAGGCTGTTGTAAATGTTCCTTATGAATCTTTGTAATTAAGCGTGATTTTTTTAAAGAAACTGTTTTTAAGAAAAGATGAAGTGTGCCGTTATGAATTTTGTTTTTAATGCTTTAAACCCTTGGTCACTACTCAGCTGAAGAGCATCAATTTATGGCGGTCTCATTAGGGGCCTGGCCATCGAGTGCAGTCCTAACCGTGCCTACTCTGAGGGTCATATGCAATGAAGTTTTTACACAGAGGAGACCCACTGAAATTAAGAGACCAAATTTCAGAAGCTGCAGTCATAGCAAATGCAAACAGCCACCGCAGTGCCTCTCGTTTGGGTGGAATTAACTGTGAAGGGACTATTGCTGTCTTGTAAAACTTCATTGAATACCACCGACCAAGTCCTATTGAATTCAGTGAGGTTAGGATTGCAGCCTGAAAAACTTAGTTTGGGGCCCTTAGGCTTACCTTTTGACCCTTGCAAGCTGCCCAGGTTTGACCTGTAGGACATTGCCTTTTGGGATGTCAGTGGCATCTCACAATCTGAGATGGCTTAAGTCAAAATTGTACCTATGAAATCCCTCCTGGCCTTGAACCCCTTCTACCTCAGATTGGCCTCCAAAAAGAAGAGAATTGGTTTGAGAGCAGAATTAATAATTGTGCCTGGATACTTCCTGAAAGAGTCAACGAGGGGCCAGAGGATATCGATAAATCTACCGCCACACAGTGCAAAATTGTATTGCCCTGTAGCTGCGATCCTGCACAGAATTAAAATAGGGTCTTACAGCCCAGTCCTAACCACATCTGCTTGGAAGTCAGTCTTGTTGCATTACGTCACGGTTACTCCCAGGTACAGGATTGCAGCTGTGGCCCATTAATCTGAGAGTTCCTGCATGCGTAGCTGTGGGGTGGATTGGGCCCGGTGTTAGTGGTGGCTTTTATGCTGCGTTAGAGAGTTGGCCTTCAAACTTGAGAGTGTTATCGTATGTGCCTTTTATAAATACTGCTACAACGTTCTTGTATCATTTTGTATGCTGGGAACAGAATTGAAAATAAACATTGCCCTTCCGTTTGAACCCTGTCTTCTGTGTTTAAATATGTTTTGCGCTTCGAGTAATAATCACAAGCGGGCAGTGGATGTCTCAGGGGTACGAGGCTATGCAGATGTAACTCCAAACCAGTCGGGTTGCGACTGTGATCGGGTGTGAGCCTTGGACTGAGGCTGAAAGGTGGTGGTTTGATTTTGTGTGTTGCAGGGAGCTTCAAGGTAGCTTGTAAGCCTGGTTTGCAGAACCCATTGTTTGGCCAAACAATGCGTTCCCTAATCCTTGTGCACGGAGGAAGGGGAGAGCGTGGGAATCTTGAAACGGCAAACTGTGGTTTGGTGCTACCTCTGAATAGCCTCAAATTTTACCCAATGAAGGAAAGTGGAGGGGGGAAAACACTGCCACAAACATACCCTACATCTCAACCAGTCCAGTTAATGGGTTCCTGTTTGCTTATATCCCAAACAGGCCTGTGCAAGGTGGGAATAATGGCAGTTATTGGGGCGCCAGGTTGAGAACGTCTGGTTCAGCATAATGTGAAACTTTGGGCTTCTTGGCTCCTCTCTTGATGTGGCAGAGGTTGGAAAGTTTTGCTTTCAACTAACTCCACAGATTCCCTTTCCTTGAACCTGGCTAATAGCGACCTGTTCCCTATCCCTGAATGAAAGCTTGCAGTTTAGGTTGTTCTAGATTTATGCATTTTGTTCACAGAAGGCAACCCCATAACTGAAGGCATCTGGGGCAGCTCATAAGGATAAAAAGGAACAAACTGCAATAAAACGGCAACACATGAGATACGATGCCACAATGAAGCCCACAAGTCACTTCAAGCCTGCAGTCCTCTGCTGATTTACCAAATCCCTTTTGAAGCTGATGGCGCTGGTTTCTGAATAAACATGTATAGACTTAACATTACCAAGCAGGGAAACAGGAACTCTGAAGCAACCACAGACGGGCCTGCTTTGTCTATGGAACTAATATAGCAGTGGATATCATGCTGGATCCTTCTGGGTCAAAGTTTAAACTGTAATCGCCTTGGGGCAGAGAGCTGCCCTTTCTGTTTGTTTGTTGCACTTAAATTGCACTATATCTGGCTGATATGCAAATAATAGCACCCACACCTTCCCATTAAGAGATTTGTGAACTTCCCTTTTTCGCAATTTCTCTATTGTTCCTCAAATGTTCCTTCGATTAAACAAGTACGCTGGGAATTGTATTAGGGAATTGTGTGTGTGTTTGTCACTGGCTCACAAATGAGCACTGAAAAGTGACACACTGCCCTCTGCTGGCCTAGCTATAAAACTGTAAGGACTCCCATCACTTTCCTGAGTGACTGCAGTCTTCTTAATTTATTGTTACAATTATATATTATTATTGCAATATATTGAACACCTTCTAAACCACCATCTTAAGCAATTTACACATAAGACAATTAAAAAGTTAAAAACACAAAAATAACAAATACATTTAAAATGAGATTAAGGCCCTAACAAATGGACTCTTGTGACAAAGACCCATTTATCCATCTAGGAAAACCTGTTGGAATAAATATATCTTCAATTATTTCTGGAAAGTGCAGAGCATGGGCATCTTGTTGTATTTTGATAAGGGATGCTATTCTACAGGACAGGAGTAGCCACACTAAAAGCCCTGATCCGAGTTACTGCAGAGTGTGCTTCTGAGATCTTTGGACCTTCCAGGAGAGACTTTCCCGTAGACCACAGCAATCTGCTGGATGTATAAGGGATAAAGCAGTGTCTCGGGTAAGCTGGTCCTGAGATGGTGTCATGTGCAGGCCTTCTAGCAACTTAAGTCTCTATGGCACCAAGCCTCCACCACCTGCAGCCTCCAGAGCGACCCCTAGGGTAGCCCCATGTAGAGTGCATTGCAGTAGTCCAGCCATGGGGTTACAAATGCAGGATTAAGCTATCCTGCTCCAGGTGGCCATAGCTGTCTTACCAACCCAAGCTGGTAAAAGACCCTCCTGAATGTCAGAGGATTCTGGGCAGATAAAAGGCAGTCCTCCTTCATGCAGAGCATAGTTAAAAGAAGGAACTGGCTCCTACAGAAGGCAGCGATGGCCACTAACTAGACTGGCTTTCAAAGAGGATTGGACAAATTCATAAAAGGAGAAGGCTTTTGGCTATGGCTATGCTGTGCCCAGGGATGTGGGTGGTGCTGTGGGTTAAACCACAGAGCCTAGGACTTGCCGATCAGAAGGTCGGCGGTTCGAATCCCCGCGGCAGGGTGTGCTCCCGCTGCTCGGTCCCAGCGCCTGCCAACCTAGCAGTTCGAAAGCACATCAAAGTGCAAGTAGATAAATAGGGACCGCTTACTGGCGGGAAGGTAAACGGCGTTCCGTGTGCGGCTCTGGCTAGCCAGAGCTGCGATGTCACGCTGGCCACGTGACCCGGAAGTGTCTCCGGACAGCGCTGGCCCCCGGCCTCTTGAGTGAGATGGGCGCGCAACCCCAGAGTCTGTCAAGACTGGCCCATACGGGCAGGGGTACCTTTACCTTATGCTGTGCCCCAACAGTTGGAGGCAGCAATGGGCTCTTGTTTGAGGATTTCCCTTTGGACAGGGGTCAGCAAACTTTTTCAGCAGGGGGCCGGTCCACTGTCCCTCCCTTGTGGGAGACCGGACTATATTTTGAAGGGGGAAAATGAATGAATTCCTATCCCCCACAAACAACCCAGAGATGCATTTTAAATGAAAGCACACATTCTACTCATGTAAAAACATGCTGATTCCCGGACCATCCGTGGGCCGGATTTGGGCTGAATCTGGCCCCCGGGCCTTAGTTTGCCTACCCATGCCTTTGGAGCACCTGTTTTGCCACTGTGAGAACAGGATGCTGGACTAGGTGAGCCACCGACCTGCATTTTATGTTCTTAGGTTTCGGTGCCTCCCAGTATGCAAACATCTCCATCCCTTCACAGGACTCTTTCCTTTCGGCACATCAAACTAGCAATCCCAGACCTGCCTCTGACATCACATTGGGGGAGCCAACTTGGCCAATTGGGAGGGGGCCCTGGGCCAAGGCTGGTTTCTATAGCACCATCCAGGCCAGGCCAGACTGCTTGAAAAACAAATGTGAGCTCCCCAAGCCCTTCGGGAGAATGCTTGCCATCTGCAGTGGCTGCTGCCCCAAGAAGTGGCCCTAGAGTACAGGAAACTAGGACACCATCAAAACGTGGAACCATGGAAGGGCATCGTGGCAAGGCCTCCACATTTCTGAGGTGATGGGAGGTGAGAGACAGCAGCCCTAGTGGGGAGGTTCTGGGAAGGGAGCTTCCATGATTATGGATGGGGACAGGTTGGAGTGATTAAGGCCTGGCGTAGACTCGGAACTGTACAGTTGGAAGGGGACCCCCCAGGAGTCATCTAGAACATATAATATTTTCACAAAGTTGAATCCCTCGCAGTTGTCTTTAGGTTAGAGGGTTAGAGTTAGAGAGTCAGGCTTAAGGGTCAACAGATTAGTGTTTGGGGCTTATGATTAGGTGCTAGATTTGGGCTTTCAGTTATTTCCAGGCTATTATTTCTAGGAAGCCAACCAGATTGGCAGGGGCAACCCAGTCAGATGCATGGGGAATGAATGAAATTGTTTGTTTGTTTGTTTGTTTGTTTGTTTGTTTGTTTCTACTTATGGTGGCACCTGCCCACCTAGCAGTTCGAAAGCACCCCTAAGTGCAAGTAGATAAATAAGTACCGCTTTATAGCGGGAAGGTAAACGGCGTTTCCGTGTGCGGCGCTGGTGCTGGCTCACCAGTTGCAGCTTCGTCACGCTGGCCACGTGACCCAGAAGTGTCTTCGGACGGTGCTGGCTCCCGGCCTCTTGAGCGAGATGAGCGCGCAACCCTAGAGTCAGTCATGACTGGTCCGTACGGGCAGGGGTACCTTTACCTTTACCATGGTGGCATATCTTTCCATCCACTGCTGCCATCTGGTGGCACAATTGTGTGCCTGCAGCCTCTTTCTCCCCATTGCTGCCATCTGGTGGCATAGTAGTGTGCCTGCAAGCCTATTGCCAGTGTGGGTCCACCTGTCATTGGCTCTGGCTCCACCTATCATTGGCCTCTCTGTCTTCGCCTTATCAGTCTCAATGGGCACCAGTTGCTATTGAGCCCTGCTGAATCCACGGTTGCTAAGTTAGTCTCTTAGCCACTAAGCTGCACACAAACACTTAGAATCATAGAGTTGGAAGAGACCACAAGGGCCATCGAGTCCAACCCCCTGCCAAGCAGGAAACACCATCAGAGCACTCCTGACATATGGTTGTCAAGCCTCTGCTTAAAGACCTCCAAAGAAGGAGACTCCACCACACTCCTTGGCAGCAAATTCCACTGTCGAACAGCTCTTACTGTCAGGAAGTTCTTCCTAATGTTTAGGTGGAATCTTCTTTCTTGTAGTTTGGATCCATTGCTCCGTGTCCGCTTCTCTGGAGCAGCAGAAAACAACCTTTCTCCCTCCTCTATATGACATCCTTTTATATATTATACACACTTATACACACACTTTGATCCTGTGTGTGAAATACTCAGATTGACCTGATCAAACAAAATGAGCTGAAAGAACGATATAGAGCTGGCACTCTATTGCAATAGAGATATGAAACCCCTAAAGTGAATTTCATTCCATTCAGCTGACAGTGATGAGGAAGGAATTGGGGTGTGTGGGTGAACTATATTTTGTTGCGTGTCCACAGAGGAGACGGAGAGTGTCCCTGTGTGGTCCAACTGAATAGCTCAAGTCATGTGAAGTTGTGTGCTTCATGCGAGCATCCCTCTATAACGTTGCTGCTCTCTGTAGTTGTGGCAAAATGGGCATGAATTGCACAGAGGTCTCTGTGGGAGACCGATGCATGGAATCGGTGGTACTCTTTGCGTGGGCAACTTCCACCATGGTTCTCTCAATGGCAAAGCTGACAGGCCTGCTCTGCTGAACAAACAGTCTTTAGTAACTTTGCCATTATAAAGTTGAGTCCCTGCTATACCGATCAGTGTTTTATTACAAGGCTCCCATTAATT